AAATTTCCGGTGACCGATTTACCTGTGATCTAATTACCTACATTCATACATTTAACCCCACTTCGGGTAAGTTATTCAACAGTTTATTATAAGTACATTTAATATAGTAATATTAAATAAGATAATCAATTAGCATGTATTATAAGGAATAGAGTATTTTATTGTTTATATTGTGTATATTCTTTTATGATTGTATATTAATTGTTTGTACTGTTTTACAGGGTTTTTTAGTTATATAATAAATTAATAAATTTGGAACGAGAACCCAAGCCTTATTTTTGGTTGAAGGGGAGAACCCGTTGCACCCAGGGAACGGCTACAATAATACAGTGGTGTAACCTATATTCGTGCATATAGGGATTCAACACCGAATTTCGTCAAAATTGAAAAAAGGAAATTACTTTTATAATGTCTTAGATGTTTCTTCAGATATTCTATAAAATAATTAAAATTGGTTTGTTTCGATTTTGTTTATTAATCCCCCACTTTGACCCATATTTCATGAGTAACCAACTCGACAATGGCTGTAAAATGTTTGAACTATAAATAAGTCCAGAAAAACATGTTGTATGGATACCCAGTGGTATAATTATCATCTCTCAGTATTTGGTATTTCAAATTCATTACAACTAATTACAATCCTTCAATATATATTGAGTGACAAAATTAGATAAGTAAAACGTACGAGTGGCCTAATTTATTGTTAAAATTCATTGAAACAACATAAGAATATGGTCCACATTGTGTTCAGTGGAATTTTTCTGCTGACATGGAATCCGCTAGTTTGTCACGTGACTTTGTTCACTGGAATATATTTTACAAGACGACACTTGGAATTCCAAGTACAGCTGGGAATTATAAGGAAATTTGGCCTATTAACAAATTGTGATTTTAGGTAATAACTGAAATCCGACATTTTGTATATGTTAGAAATAAATAATAAATTTGACATTGCTTAGACACGATAAGAAAAATTCTGCAGGTTGACGTTGTGGAGATTACCAAAACAAACAAAGACGGAGGTCATGCGAAATATTTATCATTTCCGGAGATACGCGAAATTAGTTTCGCACGAAATTACGCTAAGTGACTAATTCATTTAGACAAATAATGAACGAAATAATTATTTCAATTTAACTGAAAATTGCACCTAAAGTCTCCGTAGAATACATATTAGTCGACATATTATTGTGATGACAACGTCTCGTGTGTAAAAGCATGAAGTTTGAACTGTTTGACAAAAACATCTGCGATGATAGGTAAAACGCATCAAAATTTGTCCGTGAACACAATAGAGACTATATTTAAAGAAGAAGATTAAAATAAAGAAATTCTTTTAGTAGGCCTAAATTGACTTTACATAGAAGTGACATGCTCTTGTGCAACAAACAGTGTTTGGAACAAATTTCACTTTTGCTACATTAAATTTTGTATATAGTGTGAACTAATAACACGGATTTCTCAGATAACTGGTGTAAGGTGTAAAAAGAGATACTCTCCTACAGAAAAACAAGTAGAAACAACGGAATACATTAATTTGATAAGAAATTACTTGCTTCGGAGAGATTTACAAGATAAACAAATAATTCAAAAATGCCAAGCGATTGCTTCAAGGACTTGACGAAAGGGGATCTAATCTACCACTTACATTACTAAAATTTTGCTGTAGAATTGTAGGTGGCAACGAAAAATATAATTTGATTGTCATGCTGAATATTTAGAACGATAGGTACTCTCCAGCCACTCTACTTTTGCAATCATTTGGTTTTCGGTTCGATCTTTGTACAGATACAGAAGCCTTTTTCTCAGAGCAAAATCAATGGAATGGTTGAATTGAAATGATTTGCGATTGGTTAATTGTCAAAGTGACGACGCTTAAACGAGAACGCAACGAGTTTTGGGTTTCGCCAACACAAATCTTTCACTTAAGGAAATGTCCCCTTCTACATTCACTTAAGATGGGTTTCCTTATTTTTTAGTGTCAAATTAAGCAAACTATTTGATTAATTGGTGTTTCTAATGAATTCATGTATTCTTTATCGTATCATTATATTTTTATATTGCATATAATTCAAGTTTTAACCAATCATAAATGTCCATGTATGTAAAGTCTGGATAAACAAAAAAAGACTTTTAGACCTTTTTTGATCGGTCACTTATTGGAATTCTGCTGGTAATTCTCTTCTAATTTAGCTATTTATGAATTAATTATGGGCATGTGCTTCATGTCATATATAAATCTTATTAATGCAATAGCTGTTTTCATTCCATCCTGATGAGCGAATGACAGTCGGCCTGTGGTGATTCGACATGGTGTAAGAAGTGAACTTTCTAATTTTATAAAAGAAAGGAGAAGAAGCTGGAGCTAGAAGTTGACCATTATTAGATTGGGTCATATCATCATTGTTGGAACCTTAAATTAGTTCAAAAAGGATTTTATATTGTGGATAGAACATTCGATTGGTTCATAGTGCTTATGAAATATAAAGGATGGCAAAGCTGAAGCAACCGGAGAAATTCCATTTTGATAAACCTGGTGAATGGCCAGTATGGAAACAAACTTTTAGTCGATTTAGAATCGGAAGTAAATTACATAAAGAAGATGGAGATATTCAAGTAAGCGCTCTAATATTTTGTATAGGTGGACATTTGATGCCAAAGAAGATAAAGATAATTATGATACTGTAATTGGAAAACATGTTAATTATTTCATTCCAAGTAGAAACATTATATTTGAAAGGGGAATACTATGAATCAAAATGAAGATGAAACAGTGGAATCGTATATCAGGACATTATATGAGGCTAGTGAACATTGTGATTTTGAAGATTCTATTGATAGAAGAATTTTAGATAGACTTGTAGTCGTATTGAAAGATAAATCAGTGTCACTTAAATTACAAATGGAACCAAATGATTTAACATTAGTTAGAGCCATAGAAATTGTTAGAAACACTGAATTTGTGAAAACGCAGAATAAATCACCAATAAATACAGAAGATATTGAAGATCAGGCCATAGATGCAATAAAGCGTGACAGTAGAAGACCATATAAGGCAAGTAACCCATGGAGCCAAGGTTCACAGTCAATATCAAATAAACCTAGACATGTGTTCAACAAGGGAATATTCAATATCCAATTAAGTCGAACTTTAGCTGTACAAATGGGATTAATTATGAGAATTGAAACTGATAATGATGATGCTTTTGGACCTGGTGGATTACTTGAATGAATGAAAATGATCTATCCTTTAAATTGTCTGTTTTTTTTTATTTGAAAGAACTTAACCCAGGTGACAATATTAGTAGTAATAGAACATATAGATA